TCAGGCCAGCTTCAGTGAACAGAGAGGAAGGAGGGACTGTCTTTCTGCTCTTTCACTGTTCATCTGCTTCTTCTCTTTCAGATCAGCCAGGCCAGGGACAGAGCGAGGAGCTGGCACGGAGGTAAGAAAAGAGAACAGTTTTCACTAAGCAAGTGATTTTGTTCTCTCTCTCTCCCTGGAGGTAGGTAAGACGTCAGAGAACACACACCAAGTCTCACTAGGCTTGAGGCCAGAAGGTGGCATTTCCACTCTCTTAATTAATTTTCTCTCAATCTTTCATAATTTCAATCCAAGTAAGGGAGTCGATAGACATAGCAGGTCTCTCTCACACTGGCTATCCTCGTAACCAGCGTCCTGGTACCTTTAGGAAAACTGAGTCAAAAGAGTCTCCTTTTAACATCCTGTCATGGAAAGACCAGAAATACTGTATCTCAAGTGGCTGGCTTATAGTAGGTGCTCAATTATTTATTGATTGGTATAATCCTTCTTAATCAATCATTTCTTCCATTTGGCAGATATGAGTGGACTTTATGGGAAAACCCCCACAGGTGGTGTTTAGATGCATCAGAATCCTTTTCTAAAAATTGCTCTGGAGTCAACAAATTTAGACTTACCAAAGGCAATTTCTTGTTAATTATTCAACAATTTAAGACATACTGTAAGTGAAACCACATGCTTTAGAAGTAAAAACTATTCAAAAACATCCTGGGGTTGGCACATCCAGTGGTTGTTGGTAATGTTCCAGAATCAGAATTAAAACAAGACTCCACAGTGGGTTTGAGGTTCCTCTTTTAAAAAGTATCGCTTTCTCAAGAATGAACATATTTATTCTGCAAATCCATGTGGAAGTCTAAAATACAAATTTAAATAATGGTTCAGAAGTCTCACTGAAGATCTGCTTCCATCAGCTCTTGGAAAATACAGGAAACATGCTAATTCTGGTTCTACCACCTCTGAGCTTGGCAAAGAAAGATTTGGACTGTTTTCCAGCCAACCAACTCAATCAAAAAGCACGAACCTTCCAGGAAACCCAAGACTGCTAATTACCCAGACCCCATGCTTACGCATATATCATGGGAACAGTGTGGTGTGTTTGCGTCCTGCCCCTCTGTGACGCTGTGGGCGTTGAGGTTCTCCTACTGAGAAAGCTGAATGTTTTGTTTTTCTGCTGGCAACGTCACAGAATGGCAACTGCTCTCAGCCCACTGTAATCTGGCTGACTCCAACGGAAAACAACACCTCTTCCAAAGCTGGAGTTTGCTTTGGTAGCCAGAGGGAACTGAAGTACAGATGCTTTCTCCTCATCCTTGTGGGACCCTTTTGTGGGACCTGGATAATCCCCTTGTGTTGTTTGGCTCTGAAATCCACCTCCCTTTGACAGTTCAACTTCAATATCCCATTCTCTGCCCTTCACCCCAACCCCTAGGGGCACCCTGCTCCCTGTCATGACAGCTGGCAGCCTTCTAGGCCACTGCTTGTTGTCCCTACTCTGTCCAGCATCACCTCGCTCGACCACCAACACTAGGGCCAACTTATGGAACTCCAGCTGAAGCCCTCACTTTCCCCCATGGCCCATCACTGTGGAGTTCAAGCAGAGGCTGGGTAACCAATTAAAGGGGATGTCACATAGAGAGGATGTTACTTGAGCATCACAGAGAATCTGTGCATTGAGTGATGAATGGCTGCTCAGTGAGGCTCAGAGAGGTGAATTAATTTGGTCCAATGCACATTGCCTGGACAAAGCCCTCAGACCCAGCTCCCCTGCCCTGGCACAGTGCTCTTCATTCTGTGCCTCCCAAATCTAGGAGTCAAGAAGGCCCTTCCACTGGTTGTTTCTATGTCCTTCAAGTACTTTTTCTCTAGCTGCATACATCTGTCCCTATTGATCTCAAGGATACCTCCTAGACTAGACTAGGTGATCCTAAACCCTTCCATCAGAACCCACTCAGAAGCAAACCTGCATAGAAAGATGTACCTAGTGATGCTGGGTGAAGAAAAATAAGGAGGGTGCAGAAAACTACATCTCCAGTGTATCCTGGAGAGTACATACCAGATTATTGACAGTGGCTACGCTTCAGAAGTAGTGCTATGCAGTGCAGACGGGGGGTTGTTCAGCTCTTACTTTGTGCAGTTCCATTATTTAATTTTTAAAAGTTTAGTGCTTACCTTAGAGTTTTCAGCATACATTTATAACTAATCTAAGTCCACCTTCAAGTAACACTGTACTGCTTCCCCTGCAGTATCACTACCCCATAACCAAATAGTCCCAGTTCCCGCCCTGCATCCCTTGTGACATTACTGTTATTCACGTCAATTATCCACATGCTATAACCATCCAATACATTGTTGCTATTATTACTGTATACAAGCTGCTATCTCTAGATCAATTAAGAATAAGAAAAAATAAAAGATTTTATCTTAATCTTCATTTATTCCTTCTCGGACGCTCTTCCTTTCTCTATGGAGATACACATTTTTGACCTATATCACTTTTCTTTCTCCCTGAAGGATTTGTTTTAATATTTCTTAGAGGGCAGCTCTGCTGGTGATTAATTCCCTCAGTTTTCATTTGTTAGAGAAAGTCTCTATTTCTTTTTTACTTTTGAAGGATAATCTTGCTGGATATAGAATTCTAGGTTGGTGGGTTTTTTCTGTCAACATTCTTTTCTTGCTTGCATGGCTTCTGGTGAGAAGTCGGCTGTAATTTTTATCCTTGTCCCTTTATAAGTAAGATGTGTCCCTCTGCTGGCTTGCTTCAGTTGTTTCTCTGTCTTTGGTTTTTTGAAGTTTGAATATGATAGCCTATATGTAGATTTTTGGGTATTACTCTGCCTGGGTTCTGAGATTCTTAAGTCCATGCTTTGGTGTCTACTAATAATTTTGGAAAGTTCTTCATTATTCAAGTATTCCTCCTGCTACACTATTTATTTCTTCTCCAGGTATTTCAGTTATATGTTATCTAGTATATCCAAATATGTTCTATACTTTTGAAAATTCCCCACAGTTCTTAGGTATTCAGTTCTATGCCTTCCTCCCTCCTTATTTTTTAGCTTGAGAAGTTTTTATTGACCTATGTTTGGGGTCACTGATTCTGTCCTCAGTGGTCCAGTCTGCTGATGAGTCCAGCAAAAGCATTCTCCATTGCTGTTAGTGTTGGTTTTTTCCCTTGTATTTCTTTAGATTCTTTCTTAAAATTTCCATCTCTCTGCTTTAATTACCCATCTGTCCATGTATGTTGTCTACTTTTCCCCTTATAACCATGAACACACTCATCGTAGTTATTTAAAATCATAGTTAAGTTGCTACTCTGATCATGTCAACATCTGTAACACACCTGCGTCTGGCTCTGATTCTTACTGTCTCTTCAGACTGTTTTTTCTGACTTTTGGCTTACCTTGTAATTATTCTGCTGAAACCCGGCCATGGTGTATTGAGTAATAGGAATTGAAATAAATACGCCTTCAGTGTGATATTTTATGTTAATTTGTCTAGGAATTGACCTGTGTTTAATATTTTCTACAGCTGTAGGTGCCAGAAACTTCATTTGCCTCAAGTGTCCCTGTGTTTGTCCTTAGGTTTCCCTAAGGAAACTCTAGCCCCCTGTGCCTTCCTGTTTCACTCAAGGGGTGGGGGTGAGGGAAGAATAAGGAACACTTGTGAAGGTCACAGCCCAGGGACACTCCCACATCAACAGGGCTCCACTCTGACAACAGTGCAACACAGCTTCCGAGTTCTTCACATGTTGAAACTCAAACTGGAAATCTATTATTTAACTTTTTAACGAAGAGTTCCATTATTTTAGTTAATAGAAAAACTTCTGACATTCTTCGTAGGAGTCTATCTTTGGCTCTAGGGTGACTAATTCTCTTCTTAGGAGTTATACCTGCGAACCTTTTTAATCCTCATGGGATTTGCCAGTAGGAACATTATCTCCCATAAGGAGTCATGCTTATCCTCCTTGCTAAACCCCAGCGCAGCTGTCCTCTTGCCTTAAACAGTAGCCACCTACATCTGATCGGCAGCCGGTTTCTTGGACCTAGGACAACCTGGAAGCAAGAGATGCTAGAAATTTAAGAAATGCCTCCCCAGTGTCCCCTTCCTCTCCCTGAAAACCCCAATCCCTGTACGGGTGGCACAGCCCTTCCTAATACAAGGAAGGCTACGATTTCATCTCCAGAGACCCATGGATGAGGGAACTCTGCACTGAGATGTAAACGATTGACAGTGGTATCTTCGTAAAAGCAGGCTCTTCTAAGTCAGAAGAGCTATGTGAGCACCGAGGCCCATAAAGAGGGGTGACTCATTCACATGACGTGGGTGGGGGAAAGTTGAAGATGTAGCGGGGTCTTCCCCCAGTCTCACCCTGCTAGCAGCTCTGAGGATTTCATGCCTCTTTCCCTGAGCGAAGCCCGGCCAAGGCCAGTAAAATAGTATTAGGTTGACTACAATTCACAGAGAAGGGTCGTTCAGCAGCACAGAATTCTAACAGCTGTGAGACCTGGGCAAGCTCCTTGGTGCTTCCGAGTTTTGGCATCCTGGCGGGGTGTTGGGGTGCCTCAGTACAGCTGGGTGATGAGTGTGGACATCTCAGCTCCTCACTCGGCCCTGCTGACAGGCTGGGTCCGGAGTTTCCTCGGCAACGTTTAACCAGAGTAGAGAAGTTATTGTCGAAAAGGTTTCTCTCTTGCTAGGTAGCCTCTGTTCTGGTGACTAGAGAGGTAGGTCTTTCTTAGGGCTTTTGGTGTCTGTGCCCAGTGACACATTGCTGGTTTCATTAGCTCAAGTCTGGGATACAGGAGGCAAACAAAACAAAACCCCAGGGGACACACCACTGGGCCCTGAGATCCTTGTCAGTTGGCCTTCTGTCCACCTTTCAGAGTCTTCCTAAGCTTGTTTTGTTTTGGATTTTGTTTTGCTTTGTTTTGTTTTGGATTTTGTTTTGCTTTGTTTTGTTTTGCGGGAGAGGCAATTACATTTATTTATTTAGTTAGTTACTTTAATGGAGGTACCGGGGATTGAACCCAGGACCTCGTGCATGATAAGCATGTGCTCTAACTATTGAGCTATAACCCCCTTATGCTTATTTTATACATCACATCCAGGGGTTTTAATTGTACTTAGTAGAGAAATAAGGAAAATGCATCTATTCTGTCTTCCTAGGAGCAGAGCTCTGCCCTATCATTTTATAACCTGCTTTCAGTGGAACATCTTTGCATGCAAATAAATACATCAGATAAATACACTGCTATGCATTGCTTTGATTAAATCAACTATCTGTGGTTGACTGGACAGGATTTTCGCTTCCCCCGCACATTTCTTCTATTATGAATAACACTGGAGTAAACATCCAAGTAGCCAAATACTTGTCATATTCTTGACTAATTTCTGAGGCTAAATTTCTGAATACAGCACTGCTAACTTAAACAGTATGTATGTCAAGGCTTTTAAAACATGCAGCCAGTGGCTCTCCAGAGACCAGAAAAAATTGTAGCAAATTTTGCGCCTCTCATCAGCTCCCCATACCTTCAATGAGTATTATTTTTTTCAAATTGACAATTCAGTAAGTGAAAAATGGTCTGTCACTTTTCAAAGATGACCTTTAGTTACGTGTCAGACTAATCACTTAGAAAGCAGTTCTAGGTGTCAGTTACTGTTACGTTTCCAGGCAGTAAAAGGAGAGATGGGAAAACTGAGACTGGGAGTTTGAAAGGGTCCCCCAGGTAGGGCAGCAGCCAGTGGGCAGGACCTGGGGTACTAGGCACAGGGTGGGATGGGCACATGGGAAGACAGCTCTCAGCTTATGTGACACAAGCTTTTTTCTGTCATTCAAGAGGCCATTTAAGTTCTCTGGAATTCCTGGGCCTGTTTCTTGAAGAAGCAGCTGCCATCCATCAGAAGTGGGTAGATGTCATCACAGTGAGTGGACTGAAAGCATGAGTTAATTGTTGCCCTATAACTACTGGCCTTCCATATACACAAATACAAGTGTGTGTGCGTGCACGTGTGCACGTGCGCGCACAAACACACACAGAGCCCAGGCCTGTTTTAACCCTGGTCTTCCATCCCATGCCACCGTCACACACTATTAGACTATAATTAGCTTATGTTCCAGCTGGGCAGCAATGACAGTCACATAGGATGACTGCAGGACGAGGGGGTCGAGAGAGAGGGCTTTCTTCCCAGCAGTTCTCAGCTCCCTCTTAGATTCCACCCCTGACTATCCTGCTGCTCAAAAATCCACAATAACAATAGTGATTGGCATTTGTTTCCAAAGAATTTTTAACCCCCAAGTCCTTGAAGGCAAGGACTCTCCTGATGCCCCACTCCCAGAATCTGAACCAGTGACCTCCTCATAGAATCGCCCCATTTCAATGTGCTGTGTTAGAACACACTGAACTATATCACAGCAAGTTCGTGGGTCTAGCCTCTGGCATAAAGGGCCTCCCCTTTGCTGGTGAAAGTGGGCTTTCCCAGGTAACTGGTACCCAATGGCTTAAAAATACACTGGCTTCTTCAGACTGTTTCATCTGGAGCCGTTAGATTTCATCAGAACCGGTGGTGTCAGACGTGCACAGGGGCTATTTGATACTTTGGAGTACCTAAAACGTGGGAGTTCACACGAAGACACACTCCTAGAAGTACTGCTACAGGTTTGGGTCCTACAAACACAGGGATTTTCATAAATTCCGTGTCGTTCAGGTCCCATCAATAAAAGGAAAAGGTGCAGGTATAATTGTATGCATTGTATTCTATAATTTATTCCCGATAGGAGAATATTTCCATTTTGACTCGGCATTAATGAGCACTGTATATGCCATGTACAATTTTATTTCCAGTTTGATGACTGGGGTAATTGTATACAGAGTAGCTTCTGGTAGCTTCTGGCTCTGTTTCAAACCTTGTTTCCCCTTCACCACTCACCTGCTCCCAGTGCCAAGCACAGGAAGGCATGTTCCTCTAACGATGCAACCTCTAGCTCTGTCTCTCTGTCACTGCAGCTGAGCTGGCACCCAGGGCGGCTGAAAGACTCCTGAAGGTGTTACCCCCTGCTGTTCAAATCTGGTGCCCAGGTGCAGCGGGAGCTCACGTTTCCGGATTCCTGCCCAAACGAGGCCAACCATGGTCTGCCTGTTCCACCTGTGACCTGTACCTCTCAAGGCTGCCTGTCCCTGGGACCCAGCATATCCATTTCTGCAAGACAGGCATGCAGTACACTGAGGTTTGCAGCCCCACCACACTCTCCAGTCTAGGAGTTATCGGGGAGAGTTTGGCACCTGGGGTTCTCCATCACTGGTCAGCTGTCATTTCCAAAGCTGATGCTCAATCCCGATCCTGCTCCTTGGACTGCACTTCAATGGTTAGAAAACAGATACAGGGCTAATGTATCCTTCCTCCATGACCTCCACCCTCACCAGGTTTGATCATTTTACAGATATAGACACTGAGATTCAGAGGGATCTGTCTCATGGTGGCATAACCCATGAATATCGGGGGAGAGAGACTGGCTATAGGCATTTGTCACTGTGTCTCCCCAACTCTCTGAACCCCTTGTTTTTCACATGATGAGCCCTGCCATTCTGAAATATCGCGCAGTCCACATTCCTTTGCAGTTCACAGTCCCCTTGTGACTTGGGTCCCACCAACTAGATGCACACAAAGCCTGGGTTCAGAAGTCAACATGCTAAGGAGGCCTGGTGCTGGGGAGTCCACTCTCAAGGATGCTATAGTGGTGGACGTTCTGGGCTCTAGGCTGGTGTCCAGAGGGTGGTGATGGCCGTGGTACTTGCACTGCAGCAGCTCCCGTGACACTGAAACTGGTTATGTAGCTTCATAGCTCTCTGAGCCACCCCAGATTCTGGGCCCCACCTAATACCTTTAATCACTTTCTTGCTTAAAATAGCAAGAGTTTATTTTGTTATTTGCAAGAAAATACCTGATCAATGTTAACTGGAACCCAGGATTTCTGATTCCCACACTCAGAACTCTCTTCCTCGGCCCACAGTCAGATGTTAGATTTAAACTCAACCTTACTAACTCCTTTCCTTTCCCCAGAGAAATAACTGAAAAGAAACCATCTGCAAAAAGAACTTTGGACCCCCTGGGAGCGGGGGGAGGTGACAGAGAGGAAAATTGAGGGCAATGCATCTTCCTAGGGGAGAGCAGGCAGGCAGAGAGTGAAAGAGAATCAGGAAGGAAAGGAAGAGAATGCACAGTAACTGAGCAATAAGTTTGTGCCCGGACACATTACAAACCACATAACAACACCACCAAAGTATCTAAGATAGGTATTCACAGCCTCTGTCTCCCCACTTTCTAAGGAGGATTCTTTGAATTCTTCAGCTCCTGATTTCTTTTTGTGGGAACAGGATTAATAAATAAGCAAAAGATATGTCCCAGAGTGAGGCACAGAAGAAAGAGGCAATACAGAAATTGGGAAGAGAGGGTTACAGGCAGGCAATGTGGCAGACAGCAGAAATGAGAAATTGAAGAGAGAGGTACCATCTTGGGTGGGACTTTGGGGAGGGCAGCATTTGAACAGGGTTTGGGAAGACTTGCTGGCATTGCCTGGTGTAACACCACTCTGCTTCTCTCCTCTTTCAAGATGCTTCAGAAATTCTCACATTCTTCTGCAAGAGTTTTGATATTATTCTTTTGGAAGTGTCACCATTCCGGGACAAAGCTTAAGAAGGAATAAATGCATTATCTCATTTGACTATCATTGTAATCCTGTGAGATGAGTGCTATTATGATTCCTATTTCTCAGCTTAAGAATCTGAGGTTCAGAGAGGTTTTGTGGTTTATCCAAAGTCACACAGCTCTCTAAGTGGTAAGACTGAAAAGATTCCAACATCCTTTCATAGTGGAAGTTAGAAGTGACATATTTTGACCTACTTGATAATGTGCCCCTTTGCCCACCTGGGATGGTCACATGGATTTGGGAATTTCTGAGCTGATGTAGGGTTCTGTCAATTACTTAGATCCATAGCTTAAAATAAAAGCTATGTAGACCCATTCAACAACTATCCCAAAGGCCTAAGGACAGAACTTTCAAAACTATAACCGAGAGCTAACTTGGATAAGTTATTCAGGAAATAAAAATTAACCAAACTGAAAAGTTTGAAAACAGCTGTGCAACACCCTCTAGGTCTGCCAGATTTCTGAAGGCAATTAAGTTAATATGCACTTTTTTAAAGTTTCAATGCAATTGCCTCATGGTTGTTTATTTCCATACACACCAGAAAATGAGGACATGGGAGGAAAGTAGCCATTGTGTAAGCGTTTTAGTCTAACGTGCTAGTATTGGGCCTGGGAGAAATGAATTGCTCTGTCCTGACTCTTGGATTAGAGCGTTACAGATGTTACCTCTTTTACCCTCACCACACCCCTTAGAGGTTGCATCTTATAAATGACTCAGTGGGCCTCCAGAAGGTTCAGTGATTTTCCCAGTCACACAGCATCTGGTTTTAATTAGGAAACCAGAGGTTCTGGCAGGTCTGGGACAGTCCCAGTTTATATCTGTTATCTCAGGGTGATTGCTGAGTGCCTCCCTTTCATTTTTATAATTTCCCCTTTTAGATGACAATTCATGGGATCACCTAGTTATCGGTGACAACACTGAGGTGAACCCAGTTCAGACTGCCTCTAGAGCCTGTGGTCGATGGGCTCCAAAGGCCTACAGAGGGTAGATGCCCATGAAGCAGGGCCTGCCCACGGACACCCTTAACCCTAGGACATGGCTATTTGTAGATGTGATGCTTGGTGCTATGGCCACCATTTTGTGACCATGGGGAGGAGTGCCCTTTAAAAGCTGATCCAGGACCCTCACCTGTGAATCAACCCTGGAATCATGCACCTCCAGATTTACCAAATGAAGCAATAAATATCCATTATTGAGCATCTTTTAGTAAGGTTTCTGTTACTTGCAACCAAAGTCCTCCTACCTGGCATAAGGAAAAGGACTCCAGGTTTTATGTTTTAAAGTGGTAATGGTTATTCAAAAATTAGCATGAACTGCACATTCATTATAAAAACAGAAACAAAATAAAAATGAATATAGAAATCAATCTTAAAAG